CCAACATACAGAATGTTGACTAACTGAAGGTCCTACTCATGTTCATACTGAGAAACTCACAGACACAGTATATAGAACCTCTCAATGAGGAACACACTTTATTGTTACGGTGTCAATGTACATGAGTTTGTTAATTGGCTGCATAGAGCAATAGGAGAAAGCTTGGGAGAAAAATCTTCAACATGCTCATTTAAGTATTGCAATGTATGCACAAAATCTTGAAGGAGAGATGATTATCGTCTGTTTTAATAGCTACACTTCTCTTCCTCCAGGTTAATGAGGTTCGTCTCTCCATCATGAAACAGAATAATCCAAGGTAACAAGCAAAATTAGTTAGGTTACATAAGTTTATGTAATTGCCTCACTGGCAGGTTTATACTCCGCAACCACATTCTACAGACTGCCATAGAACATGCAGAGAAAGGAGATTTCTCTGAGGTGAGATTACAGTCAAGTATCACAGAATAGCTCTTATGTCCATCAAGGTGTTCACATTGAAAGTGTGTTGTTCTCCAGGTCCGTCATCTGTACCAGATGCTGCAGACACCCTACTAGCATGTGGGAGGAGTGGGGTCTCCTGGACCAGTGGTTGAGGCCAGGGAGGATGGAGGGACTGTGGCTTCTCGTGATAGGGGAGGGAGAGGAGAGGGTGGGGAGGAGGCGGGAGCTGTGGGGTGTGTGGCAGTGGGTCAGAGGTCAGTCAATACACAGCAAGCCACCAGAATGGGCTCTGACTCTGTGCGTCACCTGATCCTCCTAGTAGCCAGAGAACCAGGTTTGTTTGGCCATAGTAATAATCATATTATGTCTATACTATTATTCAATTATATATTGCGATCTTCACAATAACAGGTGATGTTGGGGTTCTCTGGCAGTGCTATAATAATTATGCAGTCTGCAGTCAGGTGGACACATGGTTCAATACTTCACTGCAGTTGGAGCAGTGGTAGTGATTATGACGGGTCAGACCTAAACCACTTGTGGCGGATGACCTAGATGAAATAACATGCATCTCCCCTGCATGCTATGCCAAAACTGACTTATGCGCCTGCGCAAACGTGTATTTACGCGATGATGTAATCAGTAGAAGGGCGTGAAAACAAAGGGCGAAGACAGTATCGTGTTCACTCTTCCTTTGGAGGCCAGTCCGTTACCGGTCATCTGCGTTTGCAAGTTAGAGGTAAGTGTAGGTCACCGTATGTCTGCCTTGTTGAATGTTCAGTGTTTGTGCTTATATATGTGGCGGTTCCCCCGCCCTCATGTACATGGTTACGGGTGACAAATATCCAATGGCATTCTAGCAGTCTAGCCTCGTGTAATGAGAGCAACGGCACGTCCTGTCTGTGGTGTAGAAGAGGGTCTAAAGTATCTACCAAAGTATCTTGTCCAGACTCCACCCCTCTTCCAAGGAGAGCGGGTCTTAAGGTCTCTATCAAGCCGCTCCGCCCAGGATGGGAGGGGAACATGTGGTGACGTTTGACAGGGAAACTTGATCCTAAAGCTGTAGTATCCGAACCTCTCTTTTGGCATACAAGGTCTTGCCTACAAAGGCAATAGTCCGTGGACTGAAGATGCACGTGACATTGGCCGTTCTGCGATCAGATTGTAGATCTTTGTTTGGAGGTATCTGGGACCAAGATTCCACATTCACCTTTACAGAAACAGTCCGGGATTCCACGTCAATGCACCCCAAATGCCAGAACCTGTTCTACAGCTCTCCAGCAACCTTTGCCTCTCCAAACTCTTCAAACAGTCAGTCAGCTTACATGTTTCCCCGGGCAATTTTTCTTAACCCAGAGCTTGCAAAAGTTTCCAGGAACCCCACTGCGCACCATTGCAACTACAGATGGTTAAAGTACAAAAATTCATGATATTGCTCCCTAGAACTGCACTTTCCAGCAATAGTCAATGTATCAAGGAAGGTTATTTGTCCTGTCTTTTCCCCTACTTGTGCAGAACATTAATTTTAGCCCACCCTCTTTTCCACACTCTCTATTATTATTTGCACTGTATTCTTCAGCTATTGTCAATGTATTAAGAATGATAGATTGGCCCGTCTTCCCCACCACTTGCTTTCTTAATCTAAAGACCAACTTATTGTCTGCAATGGATAATTTGCACCGCACTCTCAAGTTTGGTAGATTGGCCTGTCATTCACCCCACTAGTCTATTGTCCAGACCCCACCCACAAGGGAGAAAGGCTTTGGTCGCTTTCGCGACAATTTTTGGCTTTTGTGTATAAGTACTAGGAGTGAGAAACTGAGGAAATTTTAAGTGAACTCTGTGTCATAAACTATGCATGAGGGCAAAAAAATTCTTCCATCTACATACACAGCAAAAGAGATGCTTTGTTTGGCGGAGATGAAGTCATACTTTTGCGAGTATTTTTTAAGTGAATGCCTTAAGAGTAAAAGCTTTACCTGCAAGGGCATTTGAGGAATTTGTAAAAGCCCTGTTGCTTGTCAGCTTTGACACTTCACAGTTAATCAAAATCTAAACATGCAGCCATATCACAGTGGTGTTATTTCTGCTACAACACGGACCTTAGGAATAGACTGAAGAAACAAACAAGAAACTAGCTTCGCTGCATCGTGGCCCTGTCAGAAATGCTGCCACCACGTTTGAACGTTTGTATGTAAACCGGCCAGTGAACCACGGAGAGCTTTTGCCTTTCGCTAGTATGAGGGTGGGGTGACTTAGTTTGCATCACAATATGATTTGTAAGTGGATGCGATCTTTATTGGTAGCCTCATTTCGCAACCTTGAAGAATAGCTCCAAAGCGACCAGACTCTTTCTCCATTTTTTTAATGCAATTGTTCCCTGTCATTATTTGCATTGCAATGTATTCGGAATGGTTACTTGCTTGCTAAAAGTACAGAATTTGAGGCCACCTTACTTTTCGCTATTGCTCCATTGGATTATTTTAACTGGTCTCTCCAACTATTTTAATGTATTGAGAGAGGTCAGTTTGCCTCTCTTCACTCCTACTTTCTTGCTAATAGAACCTTTAGACAAGCCTATTTTTCACAGTTACTCCGTGGGATTATTATTGCACTGCACTCTCCAGCTTTTTTCAAAGTTTTCTATGTTGTAAGTTTGCCTGTCCTTCAGCCCACTAGTCTAGCCTCCAGTCCACACATGTGTGGTGGGGCCGCACACAGAGAGAGGGTCTAGCTAAACCTGCAATTGATTGTTTTTTTAACATTGGCAAATCTCTCCAATGTTATTCATAGTTTACAGTACTACCACAGTGTACAAGGTTCATCCAGGTTATGTAAACAGCCCACATGATATAACATTCCAGCAGAATGCATGTGTGGCTAGACCCTTTACCTCTGCACACGGTTTCACCGTGCATGCGTGGGCCGGAGAAAGAATGTCTGCGGGCTAGACTATCACCTCACTTGCTTGCTAAAAGTAAGGCCATGTATGAACCCTCGGCGCACATGCGCAGCGAGGGTCTGTGTGTGTCTGTTACCACATTTTCTGCCACTAGGCGCAACGAGACAGCCAATAAGCTATGCCAATAGGTTCGGCGCTACACTTGCTTGATTTTGAAACTGGCAATTTTCATATAATTACTGTTAATAAAGCAATGAAAAGCACTAAAGTGCAAAACCCTCGGCGGCGTGGAATAGCTCAAGTATCAGAAGTATCCAGTATAGCTTTATGCAGTCTGTCACGTTCATGCCTGTGCAACGTCTGCTCAATTGTTTCAGAGGCTCTTGTGGTTTATTTATGCAGTCTATCACTTCTTAGCCGGGCTGAAATTTGGTCGTATGTTTCAGCTGCCCTTGTGCCCTGTTTACGTAGTCTGTCTTGCTCTGTTCTCGCAAATTTCTCTTCTTCAGTCTCTAAAGTTCTTCGAAGTTTCATCGCCTCCTTTTTGGCAATACACTGCGCTTTCCTTTTTGACGGAAAGGTATTCCCACATACGCAAACCGCCCGTCTAGCATGTACTGTTGTGTCACACTGTGGACATACCTTCTTCAGGCGTCTATCGCTCTCCATCGGTCAGCCCCCTCTGCATACAACGCGCAGAATGTACGAGTGTTGATTGCCAGCTAAAAAAATTTATTTTCACCAGAAACGACCAGAAGTTTGCTCGAGAGCTTCCCTCACAAGAAAAATTAAACTCTGGCTGCTCAACGGTGCCATTATATTTACGGCGAAAAATTTGCCACTGTAACACACGCATGCGTTTATTTCTCGCTTCCTAGAGCTAATCAGCGGTCCCGGGCGTCCGGTTTCTGAAGTGCGACTCTGTCTCTGTCTCTCCCTACGCCTAGCTAATGAGCGGTCCCGGGCGTCGACGGTTTCTGAAGCACGACGCTGGCTGTCTCTCTCGCTACGCACTGAAGGATCCATGACAGTTGTAACTCAGTACTACACACGGTTTCTTGTAACTATATACACACGTGGATGAAGAGTCACGTAGAACATTACGCATTACAGTATGTGTCGCATCGACGGATAGGAAATTCGGCCCGTTGCTAGGTTGGCTCGCTTCCGCTCACCAATTATACAACAGAAAGAAGCAGTATAAAGTTTCAACTCACCACGAGGACATTTCCAACAAAGAAGTCTCCCTCGGCCAGTCTCTCTGGAGACGTCTGTCTCACGTGGGACAGGTAGAGGGCCATCCCTCGCAGGAAATCCTTTGGCTGACCAATGTCCATCCAGAACCCTGATGACACTCTCCATGATGACCTCCAGACATGTGTGTACATGTCTTTCCCACTGTTTCGGTTCCAACTCTCTCCACCAGGATGGAGACTCTGCAGTTATCAGAGCTGTAGTGAAATAAAAACAAGCCATTCTGAGGGAGCAATGAACTCCCATTGAGCACAGGGGCTTTAATGAGCACATCTAGTTGAGTATAGAGTTACATCATCCTCTCTAACATCCAATATTCATGTGTGTAATACATACTGTACATGTTGTCAAGGTCTATTGATTCAAGTTATACTATTGGGTCAGCAGTATAGTGATAATTATGGTTTCGTAATAAACCCTAGTTGTAGGTACAGATGAAGTACCCTCCAGGTCAAAGGCAAAGAGCTGTCCGTCCTGAGCCATGAATGGAAACACCTCTTTCTCCAGTGACATAAACTTCACCTAAGACAGTAGGTGGGGGAGAGGTTAAAAACCAAGCGCCGAACCTATCGATATAATATAGCTAGTTCATCGGTCATCTCGTTGCACGTGTTTGAGTAACAGACGGATAGAATGAAGGATAAGAGGCAGGACACACTCACAAGACATAACCGTGCTACGCTGCACATGCAGTGCCACGGTTAGTCGTAGGTTAATAATGTTCTCTGTCAGTTCTTACATGATTGAAGCACAAGAAAAGCACATGCTGAGCTGTAAGCTACACATGTAAGTACTAAACAGCATGCCCCAAGGCATCTTCTTCATAAGTACTCCACATTGCCATTATCCCCCTGGCTGGCTCCACCAGACACACTATTCATTAGGCTCATGACACACAGTGGTCAGTGGACTCATATGCCAATTGTGGCCGGACTCGACTGGAGATGGGTCTCTACTATTTCCATGCCCGTAAGTGGCTAAGTGTGGTGCCTCGATCTAGGATACACTTCTTTACTCTTGAGGAGGTAGGTACTGGAGATAGAGCTACCGTTGATGTGATAACAGATTTCCTGGAGCTGCCTAGGGTGACTGCTGACATCGACTTGGACACTGACTTACGGTGCAATGAGAATTAACAACACATTATAGACTACAAGATCCAAGACTGAAAATGAGGGAGGACAAAACAGATTCTAGTCCAATTTTTTCAACCCTATAACCAGCTGCTTGCAGAGCTGCTAGGAGATGACAAGTTATTATGGAACTCTGCATAGATTTCCTTCATCTTTTTTGTTGCACATTGTCAATTTTTTTATCCTCAATCTCCCTTTGACACTACCGTGTAAGTGCAATGCGCTCTTCATGTTACGTGTTTTTTTGTGGCCAAGTCTTGGTTTATGCACATGCGCAATGGCGGAGAAAAGAAGGGTGTGGTGATGAGAACTGTGCGTGACGGAGAACCAACGGAAGGGATAGGGCTCTTTGCTTCGTGCCTACATTGAGAAAAATTAGTCATATCGGTGTTTTTAAAGAAAGCACGTTGGCGTGTATGCTCAGTCCAGCCTTGGCCAGTCGGTTCCTGTCTCTCCCTTCGTTGTTTACGGCTACGAGACGACACTCGCTTCCCCTGAGTCCTGGTCTGCTGACAAGAAAGGGACCATTACTGCCACCGACGGCAGCTCTCTCCTCTCCTCCACCGCATGCAGCCACTGCTGGTAACATGAGCAGCCTGGAGGACCTGGTGTTTGACAACAGAGCTCTGAAGAGCCTTCCCATTGATCCAGAGACTCAAAACTATGTCCGGAGTGTGACAGGTCGGCTTCTATCACTGCTGCTTAGTATAGAGTACCGTGTTACACATTCTGTTATGAAACAATGGCATTTGCATTACTGATGTGCTGTTTTTGTATTCATCTACGATATTTATTGTGCATTAAATATTGAATCCTTCATTCATACACGTCCTTCATCCTTTAGTAGAAAGGTGTCCTTTTTCCATCCACTTGTGAACATGACTACTAATGTGTACAGGTGTCACAAGATACTGCCAGGCTCAGAGCCGGCCTCTCACTGCTACTGTGGCCATCAGTTTGGACACTTCTCTGGACAAGTGGGAGATGGCTGTGCTCAGTGAGTCATAAACCTTTAGCTCTAGCCCCATTCCCTGCCCGGTAGGTTAGGTTGTCTCTTTTTGTTTATTAGTATGTACAATGCAGCTTTCACTATTCAGGGTGTGATTAAGTCATACAGGGGCTTTTTCTCCCTCTCTCTCTCTCTCTCACACACACGCACACGCATGCACACTCTCGCTCAGCTACCTGGGAGAGGTGGTGGGTCCCGGAGGTCAAAGGTGGGAGCTGCAGCTAAAGGGATCGGGGAAGACCCCCTACTCAATGTTTGCTGATGGCAGGAAGGTCCTCCGCTCCTCAATCAGAGAATTCCTCTGCTCTGAGGTACAAACTGAAATTTGAATGGCAGATGATAAACTTTTCTATTTGTATTCAACCACCAGGCCATGCATTATCTTGGAATTCCGACTACAAGAGGTAAATTGGGGCATGTTGAGAAATCACGTGGTGGTAGAGGATGTCTTTCTCCCTGGTGTTCAGCTGGTCCTGTATCACATCAGATGACACTGTGACCAGAGACATTCTCTACAGTGGCAACCCCATCCAGGAGAGGTGTACTGTCATCACCAGAATTGCCCCCACCTTTATCAGGTCTCTCCTTCACTATCCACACTGCTTACAGTATAGTCATCATGACATACCTTTATTTCCTCTGGGTTTTATACTGATCTTGTGTAGTTACTGGTAAGTTTACAACAACCCTGAAGCTCTAAAGGGAATGTAGCGGTATAATAAGGGCTAAATTTAGAAGACAGAACAGGGCATAGTGAAATAGTTCCCGTTTTTAGTAAATTTAGCCTTTATACTGCCACACTCCCTTTAAGGGAAAAGGGAATGTGACTGTATGAGGACTAAATATCAATAGGGCCCATTGAAAGAGTACTGCCACATCTTTGAACAACAAACCCTGTTTTAATTTGACACAACCCCCTGTAGTCATCTTTTAGAAAATGTTAGATTTGGATCGTTTGAGATATTCAAGACGAGGGATAGGGAGACAGGTCGTGTGGGGCCAAGTGTGGGACGTGAGGACATTCTCCACCAACTACTAGACTTTGTCACTCAGTCCTACTACCCTCAGGTATGTATCATTCTCACATCATCTTTTTAAAGCGAGTTAAGTGCACTATGTTTGGCTATTAAAGCTTTGAATTGTGTTAATTGTCGGTGCAATTTTAATGTAACGTGTAAAAATGCTCGCCCCAAATTTTGTACAGTATATAATATGTATAATACAAACATGACACTTGAGTATTGAATGCCGATGTGGTGTGGATGCAGCTGACTTGTTTGCTTGTCATTGCCTAACTACCTCATTGTTGACACATACAAAGCAACTTGAGCCTATGTGGTGTGTCCCAGGTTCATATCCAGCAGCCAGAGGACAGGAGAGCCAGGACTGCTCTCTTCTTCAGAGATCTGTGTGTGAGGACTACCCACCTGGTGTCTGCCTGGCAGTGTGTCGGCTTCTGCCATGGGTTAGTTTAGATCTCCTTTCTTCCTTCAACTGACCTTTGGATCTTCGATTTATAACTTTTTCACTTATTATAGTGTAAAGTGTGTTACATTGACTCAGTATGTCAGCTTGTTTGTAGCGATTGACAATTTGACATGTACAGTGGAACCTCCGAACAAGGGACACTATAGGCCAACGATTTTGTCCCTTATATAATTTGTCCCTATCTCGGAGGTCAAATAATCTAAAAACGAGGTTTCTTGTCCTTTGTCCCTATTGGGCTTTTTGTCCCTCTCTTCACACACACACACGCACACGCACGCACACTCTCGCTACCGGAGAGGTGGTGGGTCCTGGAGTCAAAGGTGGGAGCTGCAGTTAAAGGGATCGAAGGACCCCTACTCAAGGTTTGCTGATGGCGAAGGTCCCCCGAGTGGGTGTCCGGTGGAAACCTGGGCAAGTTGGCCGAGGCTCTCTCTCCTTTCTCTCTGAAGAGGACACCTTCCCTCGCACTAAACAGCCTGTAATGTTTAACACATCCATCTCCTGATGACTTGTACATTAGTTCTTTACAGCGATGGATTCTGACTTTGAGAAGAGCTATCTGTGATTGGTCTTCATCATTAGTCAGTTCTTCTCCGTTGTTGATTAGCCTCACTTATTAAGGAGCTGGGGGAGGGCTAGTGAATGTATTATATTAATGGTGCCATCATTACTGCTAACGCGTACGTAACTGATAACTGTACATATTGTATAGGGAGATGAGGGGGTGGTGGAGTATCTCCTGGAGAATGTGTCCTCTCCTCAAACAACTGTACCTAGTCCACCCAACAGACCAAGATGCCACCTCAGTCAGTCAGTCACAGACACTCTGACATCCTTTTCTCGTGCTGTACATCGTGTTAACGTTCGAGCACTGGACATCTACAACTGCGTCGTAGGCTCCTGCCAGCATGTAGTGTTGTCTTTGTTCTCCCGTGGCGCTTATGGTTCTTAGTCGTTCGTGTTGGTTCTTGTTGTGATGTTACTTATGACCTGTTAGTCCAGGTATTAGTATCCCCTGCCTAATACACGCCCGTGCAGTCCGCTGCACATGTTCCAGCAGCTGATGGAGACGCGCGCCAGAGGTTGCTGCAGGCTCTGGGTCTGAGACGACCATGAGTCCTCTACAGCAGCGAGATTGTGCCAAACGCAGAACATTGGACAAACTCAGGTCCTCCTCTGGTCATACTGGGAAACTCCAATGAGACACAGTAGAAACCTCCAATAAACGAAAGGACAACGATAATACCTCTCACTATAAAGAACAACACTTTAATGTCCAAACATTCACTTTTTAAAGAGAGGACAACATCTCCCCATAAGAACGACAAATGCCTGGTTCCAACCTGTCTACTTCAGGAGGTTGCAACGGTATTAGATTCAAAATAGCTATTCAGGCGAGTACAGTACAGCTGTCTTGTGTGTTGCTAGAAGTGAGAGCTCCACATTGTTGTGGGTGTATACAGGAGATGAGTGTGGAGGAGAAGAGAGTGGAGACAGAGCGGTGTGGCTGGAGTGGCTGTCGAGGTACTCTCATCGACTCCACCGAGACCTGGACTCTGGGACTGATGTCTCCAAGGTCATACATATAGTCATGCGTGGCCAGCTGCACCACTGTGTCAATGAACATGAGTTTGTTGAGTTAGTTTGGCTATATAGAGCAATAGGAGAAAACTTGGGACGAAAATCTTCAACATGCTCATTTTAAATACTGGAATGTATGCACAAAAGCTTGAAGGAAGATGATTATCATCTGTTTTAATAGCTACACTTCTCTTCCTCCAGGGTTAATGAGGTTTCGTCTCTCCACCATGAAACAGAATAATCCAAGGTAACAACAAAATTGGTTAGGAGACATAAGTTTATGTAATTGTCTCACTGGACAGGTTTATACTCCGCAACCACATTCTACAGACTGCCATAGAACATGCAGAGAAAAGGAGATTTCTCTGAGATTACAGTCAAGTATCACGGAATGCTCTTATGTCCATCAAGGTGTTCACATTGAAAGTGTGGTTGTTCTCCAGGTCCGTCATCTGTACCAGATGCTGCAGACACCCTACCAGCATGTAGGAGGAGTGGGGTCTCCTGGACCAGTGTTGAGGCCAGGGAGGATGGAGGGACTGTGGCTTCATCGTGATAGGGGAGGGAGAGGAGATGGAGGGGAGGGGCGGGAGCTGTGGGGGGTGTGGCAGTGGGGTCAGATGTCAGTCAATACTACAGCAAGCCACCAGACTGGGCCTGACTCTGTGTCGTCCCTGCTCTTCCTAGTAGCCAGAGAACAGTTGTTTGGCCAACTAGTCAATAATCAGCTGTCTATGCCTGTCTATTTTTTTGGGGAACAGGGGATGTTGGGGTTCTCTGGCAGTGCATATTAGGCAGTCTGCAGTCAGGTGACCCAATGGTCACAACACTGCTGGGTGTGAGCAGTGGTAGTTATTATGACGGGTCAGACCTAAACTCACTGTGCGCAAGATGACCTCGATGATGAATCACCCTAGCATATAAACTAACTTACTTATGCGCAGGCGCCACACTTTATTTTACTAATTACGTGAATCCTACAATGCACATAAGAAACCAGTAGAAGCGAGAGCAAACCAGAAAATTAGAGGCGGTTGCCAGTATTGTGTTGACTGTTCCCACAGAAAAAATCCTTTGGGGGGCCTCGCCATCCATCGAATATACCATCGAAATACTGACACCGTTGCAAATCGTAGAGGTAAGTGTACGCTCACGGTAAGTCGATACCTGTTGTGTGTTTGTGCTACTATGGCTGAAATGGCGGTTCCCTTTCCGTCACGCACGTGAAATGCGTGTATAATGGTCGAGAGATATACCATATGCCTCGTGTATTGTGAGCAACGGCACGTCGTCCTCGTGTGGTGTAGAAGTGTGGTCCGGTTCTTGATCGCTAGTCGTATGCATCCAGACCCAACCTCTCCAAGGAAGAGGGGTCTTGTCACACACGAAAATGGTCAAATGCGGTCCCTCGAACTTCCCGGAAGAACATGCGTCTCCGCACCGTCCCACAGCAGAAAAATTTTATCCCCCTAGGACCGTCCTCGGCACCCGCGGATGGTCCCCCCCCCCTGCCGGTCCACCTTGTCTATACTTTCTTAGTTTCTTTCACATCATTATACAATAAGGCTAGCTGCTATCAACTAGCAAAATTATTAATGTTCGTCGATCTGCCCCGCCCCTTCTTTCTGCGCCATAAAATAATGCTGCTCCGTGTGCTTAGGACAGGCGAAAAGTTTTTGTGAACATTAGTTTATTGCAAACGATATGAAATCTCAAATTTTCCACAAAAGCAATTTGTATATATACACAAATCATGAAACCATTCACTGCAGGTATTGCACTGTATCAGTAGAGTAACACGCGCGGGGCGACGACGTGAATGCGCCTGCAACGAAGTGAGACGGGGAGAAGACGTAACTGTGTAGCAGTTACCACCGAAAAACACATTGTGACACGGCTCAGTGACACTCAAAGATGCTAAGATATGACAGAGATACGGGTTCGCTTGATAGTGTGCATATTTCTGGTGGGGGACTGTGTGTTATGCAATTACGGCTGTCACGGACGTTCCGGGGGGACCTGTTTTGGCGGGGACCATATACAGTGGAAATCTGATTAAGCTGTAGTACTCCAACCTCTCTTCTGGCATACGAGTCCCAAAAGTCCGCAGACGTGAAAAATCAAGTCATGAAGCCAATATGCTAATTACCACAGGCTTACACCTCCACCGGGTCGCTGCTCTGTGTATCTTGAAGGCACAAGAAGTCGCAACGAAGGGCGTGTATCAACCCCCGCATGCAATCTACTGCAGTAGCTAGCCAGTTTAGACTCTCCGCAAGCTTCTAGTGTGAGACCAGGAGCAAACGCATACTAATAGCCAGCCACATTAATTAGTGACACCGCTCATGCGCAGTTCGCAGGGTTTGCACTGTAGTGTTTTCATTAGAACTTGGTTCTGAATCCGTTTCTACTTGTTGTTGCATAAGAGGCCTCACCTTCCCAAAGTCTTCGGACTTCAGATGCACTCTTCAAACTGTCAGCTTACATGTTCCCCGGGGAATTTTTCACAAAAGTTTCCAGGAACCCCCACTGCACCATTGCAACTAAAGATGGTAGAAGTACCAAAATTTTATATTGCTCCCTAGAACAGCACTTTGCAGAGATCGTCAATGTAGGTTTGTTTGCCTGTCTTTTCTCCTACTTGCTTGATAAAGTACGAAACATTTAGTCCACCCTATTTTCCACAATCTCTATGATAATTTGGACTGTTATTGTCAATGTAATACGAATGATTGATTAGCCTGTCTTTTGCCCCACTTTCTTTCTTAAAGTACGAAACTTAAACGAAACTTGTAGCTTATGTCAAGTTTTCTATGTTGTAAGTTTTCCTGTCCTTCACCCCACTAGACTGGCCCGCATTCCACGCATGCGTAGAGAGAGGGTCTAGCTAAACCTGCACTCGATTGTTTTTTCAACATTGCCACCAATCACTCCGATGTTATTCATAGTTTATGTAAACAACCCACATGATATAAACATTTCCAGTAGATTGCAGGTTTGGCGAGACCCTTTATCTCTGCACGTGGCTTCACCGTGCATGCGTGAGCCGGAGAACGAATATCTACGGGCTAGATTATCACCCCACTTGCTTGCTAAAAGTATGAAACTTCTGGCCACCTTATGGTACTTGGTTTGTGTGTATGTGTGTGCGTCTGTTACCACGTTTTCTGCCACTGGGCGCAACGACATAGCCAATAAGCTACGCGAATAGGTACCGCACTACACTGGCTTGATTTTGAAACTGGTGATTTTTGTAAGAATACTGTTAACAGCACAACAAGGGGCTAATGGTTGACATTGATTGGCTTGGGGACTACATGACACACCCCTGAAATAAAGGCCACATCTGAAGATGGGGAGGAAAAGAAAAGAAGAAAGAAAGTCAGCGATTAATATTATTCTACCAGAAGGGAAAGAGAGGGTGAAGCGCTAGTTGCCTGGCTCCAGTCCAGAAGTAGTGTGTGCCGTGCACTTTTGAACTTCCCACCTGAGACCTGTAAACTGCATGAGCTTACTCTATGCCCATAGTCCAAAGCGACCAGACTCTTTCTCTGTTGTGGATTGAGTCTTGGTACACGTACGTACGTACATACGTATATATATGTATCTATGTCACGGAGGAAGTTTGACTTCCGTTTTGTAGCAAAAGGAGTGGAGTCCTTAGGCATATGCGCTGTGCATAAAATACATACATGGTCACATGTGCGGTGCATGAAATACATAGTCCCGGTCGAACGCAAGGTGACACAGGTAGAACAAACAACACAGAGACAGTGACTCACTTTGCTGCTTACTCAGTACATACACCATACCTGCTCTTGGGTGTGTGTTTGACCACGACATACATACGTAACTAAGTGTGGGCGTTTTTCCTGTGCATTTGGCTTGCAGGTGCACGGCATTATGTGCGTCTGCCCATTCCTAGTATTATTTGCACTGAACCCTCAAGCTACAATTGTCAATGTATTCAGTATGAATTTGCCTGTCCTGCACCCACTAGCTTACAGAATTTGGGGCCACCTTTTTTCACAGTCACTGCCTATGGGATTATTTGAGCTGCAATCTCCAGCTGTTATCAAGGTATTCAGGATGGTGTGTTTGACTGTCCTTCACCCCACTTGCTTGCTAAAAGTACGAAAGTTAAGGCCACCTTATTTTCACTCCGTGGGATAATTTGCGATGCACTCTCCTGCTGTTTCTATAAACCTTTCTTTCCCCCTACGTGCTTGCTAAGAGCATGATGCCACCTTTATTCCCCAGAAATTCTCTAGGAATTTTTGCACTGTAGTCTCCAACTATAATTATTGTTAGTGAATTCATTAACTGTCGGCACACATGTGCAGAAAGGGTTACAGTACTTGGTCTTCTCGTCTGTCTGTCTGTTTGTCAACGCTTATTCTGGTACTACAGGCAGCCTACGATCAATACTAACAGCTTCAGAACTACGCGAGCCTGAAAAGTATGGTGATCAACTGAGTTAGAGATATGCTGCAAAAGCAAGCGAAAAAGCCACTATGCATGATCCCACTGGGCTTACCTATAGATTCGATCAACTCGCTCTGTGTACCTTGGAGGTAGAAGGCAAACGATTCGACTCCTAGTGGAGCTAGCCCGTGTCAGACACTCACGAGCTATACTATAGCGTCGGAACCATGAGTAAAGCATACTCATAGCTCAGTCCATCAATTATCGGTACCACGCCAGCACAGTACGCAGAAGGTTTTCACTTTAGTTGCACTTTAGTGCTTTTCATTATGATGTGTATCTTTGCCTGTCCTTCACCCAACGTCCATGCTAAAATAACAAAGTTAAGGACACTTTTTCACGGCATTCTCCAGCGACCGTCAATGTAATCAGGAAGGTTAGTTCGCCTGCCTTTTCTTGTACTTGTTTGCTAAAAGTACGAAACATTTAGCCCACCCAATTTTCCACAGTCACTCCCTAGGATTATTTGCACTGCACTCTCCAGCTATTGTCAGGATGGTACAGGTTGGCCTGTCCTTCACCCCACTTGCTTACTAAAAGTACGAAAGTTAAAGCCACCTAATTTTTCGCTATTGCTTCCTTGGATTGTTTCAACTGCACTCTCCAACTATTGTTAATGTATTTGGGAAGGTCAGTTGGCCTGTCTTTACTCCTACTTTATTGCTAATAGTAAGTTTTCAAGATGGTAAGTTTGCCTGGCTTTTCATTTGTTTTCACGGCATATCTCTCGAACGCAGTCATTTTTGGAAAATCTCCCTTTTATTTTTCAGGTTCACGTAGTTCTGAAGACATTGGTATCGCTCATGGGCCGCCTCGAAGCCTGTAGTGCGAGAATAGCTGCTGACAGACAGACAGACACACACACAGACCAAGTACTATAACCCTCACTGCACATGCGCGCCGAGGGTTAATAACATTTTAGGGATCGCGAGATTCGACACTCGCTATTTTCCAATGCCTTCACATTGCGCAAACAGGTGGAAGGTGGTCGACGTACGTAAATCAGTTGTATTTTGGGTAGCTACACATACGTACTTACATGCCCTTCACGTTTAGTGTAACTTATGTGACGGTGGAAGTTTGACTTCTGTTTGTCGCAAAAGAAGTGGAGCCCTTGGGCACATGTGCGGTGCATGAAATACATAGTCCCGGTCGA